ACATAAACATAAATAATTAGAATGATTCTTTAAAGGGCAATTACCTAATTTGGAGCGCTCTGAATAATTGCAGAGGACTGAAATTCCAGATAGCCGGAGAGAGATAGCAAAAGGACATCGGTCGGCGACTGCACTAAGCGGCTTAATGCCCCGAAATGGAGATAAAGTGATTTCCAGTGTCGTTGCTGGCTGCCTTGCCACTGCACACAGTCCGGAGGGACATTTAAATCCGAACAGTTCGAAAATAATTAGAGCGTTTAGTGACCTCCTCCCACCGCCCACCGCCCACCTCCCCCAAGTCTGTGATTTTCCCATTTCCCTTTGGGAAACGCGTGGAAATGGCCACCAGGAAGGTGGGGGAGTGCGGATTGCGGGGGCGAAATCAAGACGAAGACATAACTGGATGGATACGGAATACTCTGGAAAATGCGGTAATTGTGAATGGGTAATCGGAAACCGTTCTCTACGTGTATCTGCATTGTTTGTTAATTAATCCTCTTCTTGCAGGAAATTAGTCAGTTGGACCTTTGACGGAGCAGCATTGTAAATTAAAGGCTTAATATTACACACACTAAGGTATAATTGGAGTTTTAAGCCAATTTGTCAGCTGTTTGCTAAAGAAATAAACGGAAAGGTGAAATAGTCTGTACACACATTTAAAAATTGGGCACCAAATGTTTTATATTTCTAGATAGTTACTTTTTATAAAACACCAAAGATTGGCTTATAGCACCTATAAACCTAAGAAGAAAACCTTTTAACTTGTATACTCTACCCCAATTCCTTGCCATAATAGCAAACACTAATATAACAAAATACTGAACATAAAAATCCAATTAGTGCTGTCCAGCCAAGGCAAACTTATAAATGATGTTCGCATTTAAGAATTTATAACTTCTTCATGAGATTTTCGCATTAATCGTTGCTCAGATCATGACAAATTGCGAATACCCTTAACGGGGCTTGACCTGAGTGCCCGGCGATGATGCCGATGGGATTGGACAGTGGACGAGAGGTCGAGCGTTCCGAGGGGCACTTGTTCAAATCGCAGAAGACTCGGGTCCCCGGCCACGTCCCAAGTGACCCAAAAGGACACGCAGCGAACCCTTGATTGCGGGGAGGGGGGCTCTGAGCACAGCTTGAAGTTAAATAAATTAAGGGCAATTAGGCGCAGCATTAGGGGCACAAAGGTCGCTGGGAGGACAACACCACCCACTGGAGTCCCACCGCCAGGTGATTTTTCAAGTTATGAACGCAAAGGTTTGTTTTTGCGGCAGACAACTCAAAGTCATCTTCTTCTGCGGCTGCTGCGAGTTTTAATTGCCCACTTTACACTGTAAATTTTACAGTTTTCGAACCGACAAGGCGGAAGTTGTTCGCCCCGAAGATTAGCGGTGGGTTTTCTCGGCAGACAAGTGCAGAAAGCGTAACGCAAGTAGCAACTGCAAACAGCAAACAGCAAACGGCGAACAGCATTTTTGGCCAATTAACTGCGGCTAATTGTTGCGTACCGAACGCAACGGCAGAAAACGCTCATATGCGAAATGCGAAACGTGAAAGTCGACAAATTTATAACCACCAGAAGTCGGGGGAGTCAGCCAACAGTGAAGTGCATCGAGAAATGGCAGAGGTGCAAAAAATAAGTCGAAACTGTTGATCGTACGGCACCCATCAGCGTTTTTCTAGGCAACTTCCGCTGCAGCCAAAAGATATTTGCATAGTGGCCTAGTTCTACTTTCGCCAACCCAAGCAAAAGATCATCAAAGACGGTCGAGCGTGGCCAAATCCAAAACCAAGTGGCTAATAAAAGGGAAGTACGATATTTTGAAGCGGAGAAAACAGTTTAATTGGTATCAGCTTGCTTTTATATTTGTTATTCAAATCAGAATTTCAGATTTCTTTTATTATCCATGTTTGATAATTATTTTATTAAATAACAAAATATAAAATAGGAATTTTTTATAAAGGTTAAAGCTCTAATATCGGATGTGCTAATTACTCAAGATTAAAATCAGATGATTTTCAAGTCAACAACCAATGTTTAAATGTATTTAATCCGAGGTTCAATATTCAACGTTGTTTATTTTTTAAAATATGTATTTGCTTGGAGATATTTTTCTTTAAGTTTGGTAGGTTGGTTATCATAACTTTGCGGGTATCTGCAATTGTTTGTTAAAATATTAGCATATTAGGCAGTTAGTGCACACTTTTTGTCATTTCCTAAACGCAAAAAATGCCTAAACATAAAAAGAATTTTAAATTTACTAATTCGTAAACGACATTTTTCTAAAAACTTGAAGTTTTTGTTATTAAAAGTCATATACATATATCCTCTTTTGGGCAAGTACTTAAAACTATTAGGTACAGCACTAGCATATTAGGCAGTCAGTACATAATTTACTATTTTTCAACAAACTACTTATAACCAACCTAAACAACACTTTTCGGGTTACATTTCCTAAACGCCAGACATCCATAAAATGCCAAAACATGAGAAGATTTTTCCATTTAATAATTCAAGCGAATAGAGTTCCAAGTCTCAGCCCAATCTGCTTAGTTCTCGGTACCTGAAGTCAACCCAGAGATACTCATGCATGGCTGCTCAACAATTCAACGAGAAATCCGAAAAAAAAAATGTGAAACACAACACGCAAGAGGAGATTTCACTTTTTGAAGCTTAGACAAACGAACGAGCAGAGGAAAATGCGAGATACAATACACAATCATAACTGACCTTAATCAATGTCTACGATGTTGGGTTTTCAGTTGTTTTCGGCCGCCTCCATCTGTGACTGGGTGGGTGGGAAAATGGAAATGTATCTTTTCAGAAAATGTATCTTGGAGTGTAACAAGCATATGCAATCGCGTTTTTTCTCGGCCCAAAGAGGACAAACAACGAGCCAACCTCTCTTTTGCCCCGGCCGAAGCTGTAAACAAGTTTGCTGCGAAAACTTCTCAGGCAATCTGAATCCGAATCTGGACGGAGGCAGCTGCTAGATGCGACGTCTCGCTGCAATTTCATTCATATGCAATGGGGACAGGTGGGGGAAGGGGCAGGGAAGGGCGGGACGGGAAAAAACAGGTAACACTGAGAGCGCTTCCTGTCTGGCCGAAAGACACGAGAGGTATCATGTAGCTGCCCCGAGTCGTCCGCAGGTGAAGTAACTTATACGCAATTTCTGGCTCCACTTCAAGCTCAACTTCTGGCCCCTCGGGCTAATTAGTTTGGAGCTCATCTCGTTCTCATTCTGCAGAACCATGGTTCTGGTTGTGGGGCATCATTAAACGAGGCAGAGATAGTTTTTCCCCACCAGATCGGCCGACATGGGAGCTCTTTGGCTATGCAAACCGATCTTGAATGAACGAGTCGAGCATAAAATCATCACATTGTGAAATTTCTGCCCACCATGCAGCAGTGCATTCATTCAGTTGAGCTTCAGTATCTCGTATCTGGCGGATGTGACTCATTCGGTCAAGACTGAAATTACGCCGCACTCGACTGGCAAAGCAAAGACAAACGAAGCGGGGTTTCTTTTTCAGCTACTCATTCGCCTCTGCCGAAGCAGCTCTTTTTGTTGTCGCGCACTGGGAGAAATTAGCTACCTTAAGTACATTTGGAACTGATTTGGGTTTTGATTTCAACAAAAAGTTGATGTTCGAAATAAATAAACATGTATTGCCTATATTTCAAGTAAAAAATGTTCTCAATATAATAATACGTTACCACTCAGCAATTCATTACTGTGATTATGCTATTCCTATTTCATGAAATCATTTCATGAAATGATCTAAATCGTGTGATTTCGATAACACAATAGAGAAAATGCTGATGCTCAGCCCACTGTACACTATAGAGCTCAAATAACTTGACATCTCAGCTGATATAATTTAATAAATTTGTATGTGTTGTATAAACAGGCGCTATTTTTATTACATGTCTCCGAAATTCATGAGATTCATAGCTCAACCATATTATATATAGCTTCAGCAAACCCTTTCATATTTAGAACTACAAATAAAATATAATTTTGTTTAGTGTACTGACTCTTTTTCAGTCTATCTCTCTTGGAGTTTCATGCTTGAGTAGGTTGATCGCTGATTGACTGTAGGCACAAAGGGGGAGCGGGGGCCCTGATGAATGGAAATAAAGAATGGTGAATGACTTAGAAACATCCGAAGTACATTCAAGCGCTGTAAACAGTCTTCCCTACTTTGTACGCCATTAACAAAAGGTGTTAATTAGTGAGAAAGCTAAATAAATGTAAATAATAGTCACTGAAAAACAAAAATTCTTCATTTTGCACATGAAATTCGAGACTTAAGCAAGCTCATTAGGATTCGGTAGGAAGTTAAATTAGACAATATCAAGTATTTCTTAAAATTAAATCTCGAACTTTTTCCCTATTATATTTGGTCCCTTGGAGTCACTTGCTAAGACTGCAGAATATTGATTGCACATAGCGCAGTAAATATTTTGAAGTAAATTTCCTAATAAACAACAGGCAATAATAATAATAAAGGAAAAACATTTAATAATGTTAGATCTTAGATAAGAATCTTTTTTTGGCCAGCAAATTCTCAGAATGGCACGGCATGCCGTAATTTTAAAAAGCAAAACAAAAGACGTCGGCCCAATTAAATTCATTTTAATGATGTCATGCGATCGGCCCCCGCATGAACCCACCATGGGTTTATTTATACCGCATAAATCCTTATTTATACGGCGAGGCAAAGCCAATTCGAAATCTTTACAGCGGAGGCGTGTGCAATATAATCCCTTCGCCCGGTTGGCGGTGTTGCCCACATGTTGCATGCGAATGTTGCGAACCGGTTGGGGCAACACGCGAGCACTCTCCCTGGCTGCTTTCTCTCGCTACCTCTCTCTCGCGCCGAGGCCGAAGTTGCCAAGAGCAGCCGAAGCGGCTTCGGGCCGAGCCGAGTGGCCAAGCGACTGCGGAGGCTTTGATTCGCAGCCAAGAAGCACAGTTAGTCCAAGTCGATTCAAGTCCGCGCTGCCGAGCGGTCGATACCGCTGCCGTGTAGTTGTGTGTGTAGAGTGCGCGCGTGTGTGTGAGTCCGCCAGCCAGGATCCACCGATACCGATACCGATACAGATACCAGATACCGTTGTTTTGTGCAGTGAAAGCAGTTGCAGTGTGTGCAATGGAGGTCCTTGCCTAGATCACAACTCATCTCGCTCCCCTCGCTCGAAAGTCGAAGAAATCACCCCTCGCGTGGACGAGGTTCGCTCGTAACGAGACCGAAAACGAAAACGACGAAAAACGCGATGCGAATTAAAGCTTTGCGTGGCAAAGTGCGCTAACCGAAGCAACCAAACAAACCAGCCATCCAAAAAATCATATATATTTATGTGGAGAGCAGCACGTGAAGAAAGAAAATCCCGAAAAGCCGAGGGAAAATTGCGTAGAAAATATTAGCAGAAAAAGGCCAGGAAACACGAGTTTCGTTGGCCAAAAAATAAAAACGATTATCATCCCAACGGTGTGAGTGAGTGCGAGTGAGTGTGTGTGCGGGCAGCCCTATAAATAACATTGGGTCTGGCCGAGCGCTAATTACGGCAAAACATGAAAATCTTGGCGAAGACCGCAGCAACAACCAGTGAAGCCAAGGCGGCAATTAATCAATTTTCCGCTTGACCCACAAGGAAGTTTCCATATCATAATTAAAAGAAAACCCAGAAAAACGAGGCATACAATCGCGCGAAAGTGAGAGTAAAGGTCAACCCAACGAAGCATATCCTTGAGTTACGTTAAATGTTATAAAATCCAAGAAGTAAAGCAGTTGTATATATGGCTTTAACGGATTGATAGATGACTTTTAAAACCTCCATATCAATATAAAACACATCAAGTTAATAAATCACAAGCTCGTTTGTAGGCTGAAAATATCACAAAGCAATTAAAAAGTTCCAAGTGAAGACTATAAAACCTATCGCATAACCGAAACCCCATGATATTGATAATAACAGACAAACACAGGGCCTTGGCCTAGAACGCTCAACCAGAAGACTCGAAGAAACAGCCAGGAAAATGCACATCAGGGAAGCAGCTTTCCTGGTCCTGAGCCTGCTGCCCGGGATCATCCTGGGCAGCCGCTACAATCAGCTGCACCTCTACGCGAACGGGGGCGCAAGCAGCTCCCCCTCCTCCAGCCCCGGGGGCTACAGGCCCGCCCCCTCGGCCCAGAACGAGGTCTACTCCATAGCGGACAGCCAGCCGATGACGGAGGACGGCTACCTGCCCCCCAGCCAGCACTTCCCCCCCGCCCACTCCGACCTGGACCCGCCCGCCCAGCAGCAGAGCACCTGCCAAACGGTCTGCGCCTGCAAGTGGAAGGGCGGCAAGCAGACGGTGGAGTGCATCGACCGCCACTTGATCCAGATCCCCGAGCACATCGACCCCAACACCCAGGTGCTAGACATGTCCGGCAACAAGCTGCAGACCCTGTCCAACGAGCAGTTCATCCGGGCCAACCTGCTGAACCTGCAGAAGCTGTATCTGCGCAACTGCAAGATCGGGGAGATCGAGCGGGAGACCTTCAAGGGGCTGACCAACCTGGTGGAGCTCGACCTGTCGCACAACCTCCTGGTCACCGTGCCCAGCCTGGCCCTGGGCTACATCTCCTCGCTGAGGGAGCTCACGCTGGCCTCCAACCACATCCACAAGATCGAGGGCCAGGCCTTCGGGAACACGCCCTCGCTGCACAAGCTGGACCTCTCGCACTGCGACATCCAGACCATTTCCGCCCAGGCCTTCGCCGGCCTCCAAGGACTGACCCTGCTGCGCCTGAATGGGAACAAGCTCAGCGAGCTGCAGCCCAAGACCATCGAGACCCTGAGTCGCCTCCACGGCATCGAGCTGCACGACAACCCCTGGCTCTGCGACTGCCGGCTGAGGGACACGAAGCTCTGGCTGCTGCAGAGGAACATCCCCTATCCGGTGGCCCCCGTCTGCTCCGGCGGCCCCGAGAGGATCATCGACCGCAGCTTCGCGGACCTGCATGTGGACGAGTTCGCCTGCCGCCCCGAGATGCTGCCCATCTCCCATTACGTGGAGGCCGCCATGGGGGAGAACGCCTCCATCACCTGCCGGGCGAGGGCGGTTCCGGCGGCCAACATCAACTGGTACTGGAACGGACGACTGCTGGCCAACAACTCGGCCTTCACCGCCTACCAAAGGATACACATGTTCGAGCAGGTGGAAGGTGGCTTCGAGAAGCGGTCGCGCCTGGTGCTGACCAACGCCCAGGAGACGGACTCCAGCGAGTTCTACTGCGTGGCCGAGAACCGGGCGGGCATGGCCGAGGCCAACTTCACCCTGCACGTGAGCATGCGGGCCGCGGGCATGGCCTCCCTGGGAAGTGGCCAGATCGTGGGCCTCAGTGCCGCCCTGGTGGCGCTCATCGTCTTCGCCCTGGGGGTCATCATGTGCCTGCTGCTGCGGGTTAAGCGGCAGCCGTATGTGGACAGCAAGACGCCCAACCACATGGAGGTGATCACCTCGGTGAACCACCAGAACTCCATCACGAACAAGACCCAGCCGGCCACGGGAAACGGCAGCATCGGGGGTGTGGTCATCGCCAACGGGGCCGTGGCCAACATAATCGACGGCGGAGTGGTGCAGGGCGGCACTCTGGAGCGGAAGAGCAGCGGCCGGGGCGGGTCCCACGGAGGGCACGATCAGCGGAGTGCGAATCCCGTCCAGAAGCCGCCGAGACTCACCGATCTTCCGTACTCCACCCAGGGCTACGACAACAACGGCAGTGTCTTGTCCACCGCCTCCTGCTTCATCTCGCCCACGGGCTCCACTGGGAACGGAAACAACCCGGACCTCATCAACGACACCAAGCGCTTCGGGAGTGATGAGTTCGCCGACCTGAAGATACCGCCCATCAGTGGTGTGGGCGTGGGCGGCAGTGGGGAGTACAGTCGCGCCAACGGCTGCGACTCCCTGTACCCTTCGGGCCTGTGGGAGCACGGTGCCCCGGTGGGCGCCACGTCCGCCGATGACCTCTTCATGAAGCGCTACACGGACAAGACGCCCATCATAGACTCCAGCCAGCTGTACGACCTGCACGAGCGGACGGCGGCCACGGACTACTTCAGCAAGACCTTCCCCAGATCCCACCTGCAGCAGGGGACGATGGGCGGCGGAGGCACCTCGACGGCCTCGACGGTGACCACCAACCTGTCGGGTGGCTCCTCCTCGGGCTACCCCAACGACTACGGCCTGCCCCTGGTGCCGGGGGCGGAGCACCAGCACAACCACCAGCTGCAGATGCACCCGCTGCAGCAGCTCCAGCAGCAGCTGACCTCCACGCTGAACCACCAGAGGCAGGAGGGCGGCTCCGCCGGAAGCAGTCCGCACTTCAGTAGCCGCACCCTGCCACGCCTCCACGAGGGCAGTGGCGGCGGGGGCAGCGCCCGGTCGTCGCCCACGCCGGCCGTGAACCAGGCGAACCAGGCGAATCCCAGCACCTCCAGCTCCAGTTCCTGCTCCATCCTGCCCAACGGACAGCCCATCAACGCCAAGACGATACGCGTGTGGCAGAAGGGCGGGGTGCCCGTCCTGCCGCCCGTGACGGCCCTGAAAAGGGCCCTGATCAGCAGCAGCCGCAACTCGCCGGACGAAGGATACCAGGAAGGATGCGGCACGGATGTGTAAGCGCCGCGCACCCGCACCCCGCACCCGCTCCTAGGGAAGGGAAGGAAACCAAACCCAGAACTGACTAAACTTAACTCAACAAAGCAAATAAGGCGTATCGACGGAGGGGAGGTAGCTCCTTTAGCTCCTTTAGGTATAACACTCGTAGATAGCTCCGGGGTCCTAGGCGAGCAGCGATTATTGTGCAAGCGAACTGTTTGTGATAGTGTCTGACAAAAAGATAATGCGAATGAAGATAATAATTGCCCAGAGCAAGAGAAAGCTAAACGAAATCAACTGCACTACTCTAAAGTACACTCTCCTTGGCAAGTAACTCAACTAACTAAACTAAACTACATGTGAACCACATGTAAACTAATTACAAATAGGATATGTACAGCAGTTTCTTAATAACATGGCAAGCTCTCAACTCCCCGCATAAAGTAAAGAAAATAACCCAAATATATGGAAAGCAACCATGTGAATGTAACTAAATCTATAAATATATTTATATGTATGTGACTATGTGTGTGCATGTGTGTGTGTAATTTCTTCGATGTTCGGTTAGAAAAAAAAGTAAAAAGGATCCCGAAACCAATAAACCCTTCCTCCAGAGTTATAATCGTAAATCAGACACGGAAAACCGAACTTGTGGCTCAACATTTGTAAGATATACATTCACATATTATAGCAGGTGTTCGTATGGTAAAACTGCGGAAGAAGTAATATAAATCATGGTAAATGTATATATTAGATAACCCACAGACAAAGCAACCAAATTCTCGATCCGACTATTGTTGCAATCATTCTATGTCCGTTAGAAGCTGTGAAGTAATGTAAAGCTAAATCAGGCTCCAAGTCTAACCAAAGAGGTAGCAGTAAATCCATAGTCTCTTGAAATATTTTCTTTCGTTTTACATTCGCTTAAAAACTATAGAAAATATCACAAGTAAAAACATTTTTCTATAATAATTTTTACAAAACGGAGCACCTTTTTAATTGTAACAAACTTATTCCTCTAGCTTTTCTAAGTTGCATTCAGTTTGCAGCATTATAAAAACATGCCCTAAGTACTTTTTTAGAGAATAAATGTTTACAAAATTCCACTATGCAAACTATTTCGTAATCAATTTAAATTCCAGAATAAATTGTAGTTTACTGCTACCCATAAAATAAATAAATTTTGAAAAACAATACGAAATGTTTGTGGATTTCCCAATAAATATGGAAGAGAGCAGGCTAGAAGGGAAAAGAAATTCAACAAAATAAAACTTGAGGGAAGTCGGAAAAATTTAAAGTAAAGACAGAGGGAAATATTCGTCAAATGCATACGTAAATAAACATATGTAAATTGTACTCAAAGTGCACACACACTCACTCGCAAACACATCACAGGCAACACACACACGTTCACGCATACACATAGCCATACACGTGTACATGTAGATGTATGTCAGTTTGTCCTTGTAACGATTTAAAGCGTATCCACAAGATATTAATTGCCCGTATGTGCTAAGACTTAGAATTTAAGCGGACAACAAAAACAGAAGCAGAAGCAAAAACAACAACAACAACAACAACAAAAACAAAAACCAGAAGAAAAAGCAAACAAAATAATATTTTTAAGGTAAACCAAAGACTTTTTTCTTTGCATCTAAATGAGCGCAGAGTCTTCAAAGGACTCGCAACAACAAACAGTAGGCACACACAAACGAACACAGATACAAAACACAGCCACACACATACAACCGAAAGTAATCTTGGACGAGAAAAAAGAGCAAGAAAAACCATAGCATTTAAGTTGAACTTATGTATTATGTATTGTATAATATAAACCTACGTATAGTATATAGTCTATAGATGTGTACACTTATCAACGGAGCGGCATAGCTAACAAGCGAGGGAAGGGGCGGGAGAGAAAGTGGGAGAAAGCCGAGGGACAGAGGAGAGGGGAGTAGGGAGCCCGCAGACAAAAGGCGGGCATTGAATGCATGAAAGCCACTGAATGAACAACAAAGCAAAAGGAAATATATATATCATTATATATATCTATATATAAACGAAAAACATAAACCATTGTCATTACTTTTTTACCTCCGCCCAAGACTTCAGCGCAAGGTAGGTACGACCCCGGGGGGCGGGGGTTTCGGGGGTCAGCTGGGGATGACATGACCCAATTAGTTGCCCATTCGAATGCTGTCCGAAGCTGGGGCTAATGCCAAAGCTGGCTCTGCTGCGCTTCCCTTGCTTTCGCTGCAGTGCTCTGGCATATTAGGGCCAATCGTCTAATCGCCAATTATGCATTTCAACCTCAACCCCAACCCCGAACCCGCCCACAACCCAACCCCAAACCAAAACCTTACCTCACACACTCGCAGAGACAAACTGAACGTGTGGCTTGAATCGATATGGCTAATCGGTGGAGGCCAAAATGATGTCCGTGAACGAGGAATATGGAATACCCTGAGGAGATTACAACGGAACCAGGGAACAGTTCTGCAATGTCGAACATTTATGGTTTGTTGTATAATGATCTTTGATCAGCTTCGTGAGACGTAAAAAGATGAGTTTTTTCTTGATTTTCATATTATATTAAAAGCAAAAAAGTAAGAATTCCAATTTTTATATTCATTTTTTCTTCCCCATAACCACCAGCACTCGAATCTACATGGAAACCTGTTACACTTAATATTTTAATATTATATATTATATCTAATTTTCCAAAAAAAGAAATAATTAATATATAAATATTTTTTGATGTCCAGGGTAACATACCTCTAAGCTCATTTATCTTTATTACCATACTTTTTAATGATTACACATAAAACAAGGAAGAACGCTATAGTCGAGTACCTCGACTATCAGATACCCGTTACTCAGCTATATGGAGATATGCAAGCAGCAAAGCGAGATTAAGATGCGCCACCTACCGGCGGTATACAGATTTAAGCGTTATGGGCGTTAGAGTGGGCGCGGCAAATTTTTTTTTGGATCAATCGATAGGTATCGACGAGACCAATACATTTCAGTTAAAATTTTTTATCTAGCATGAAAATTGTGGGCGTCACAGGTTTTCGCGGTTTGTGGGCGTTAAAGTGGGCGTGGCAAACTTTTTTTTGGGTCAATCGATAGGTATTGATGAGAACAATACATTTCAGTTAAAATTTTTATTCTAGCATTAAAACTGTAGGAGCCACAGTTTTGGGCGGTTTGTGGGCGTTAGAGTGGGCGTGGCACTGTGCCGAAACAAACTTGCGCTGCGTAAGAAGCTCAGGAATCTGTACGCCAAATCTCAATAGCCTAGCTCCCATAGTTTCCGAGATCTCAGCGTTCATCCGGACAGACGGACAGACGGACAGACGGACATGGCTAGATCGACTCGGCTAGTGATCCTGATCAAGAATATATATACTTTGTGGGGTCGGAAACGCTTCCTTCTGCCTGTTACATACTTTCCGACGAATCTAGTATACCCTTTTACTCTACGAGTAACGGGTATAATAATTATTTTTATTTCTTGGGTAACGTACCTCGAAGCTTACTTATCTTTTTTTACCATCCTATTCATCTTAATATGTAGTAATGCAACTCATCATGATATGATATTTCCTGAACTAGTATACCTTTATTTATATAATCTATATAAGATTTTCCAAACATATTTGCTAGACATAAGCAAGAACACAGTTTATGTTTCTTCTAATTTCTTTTCCCTTTCCCTTCATTTTCAAAGCTTTGCAATCGCGCAATCTTTAATCCCTGAACTTGCAGGGAAACAACTACTTTTAGCCAGACATTCTCCATGGCAAATTGGAGATGACTTTTGGAAAATCTAGGCAATCTCCACTCCCAGCGACGACCCAGTGGCCTCCTGCTCGAGCCGTCTATATCTGTTCGTGGATGAGGTGGCTCGATGAGGTGCTCTTTTGGGTGGGAGTTGTTAGGCAGCGCGTAATATATACGGCGGCCTAGTACCAGATTATATCATGGCGTGCGGCTATGCCAAACTGTCTGGGCCCAAACCGCCGCCGCCCAGAGCTCCGGCCCCTCACCTGCGGATTTGGCCACCAAGCCTTATTGACGACGCACAAAGTTTGCCAACTAAACAAGTTTTGTGCCTCAAATGAAATTTAGGTTGCAACTGAAGCCCAACAAAAGCCAAACACAACACGGGCCAACAGCAGAGTGGAGAGCGGGGGGCTGGCAAAAAATTAGAACTTTTCTGCGCCGAAGGAAAGTGTATTTTATTTGCTCAACTTTATTACGTATACGTGCCGCTGTGCCGCCTGTGCAAATAACCAAAAATGCAAAACGTGGGCCGCCCCGCCTTCCCCTCAGATTTTCTGCCCCACCAGGTGATCTCTAATGAAGCCTCCGCCATTGTGGCATCGTCAGGTGCTCGTCGCACTTTTATGCTGCATACATTTCTCCGTTTTCGGGCGCTCTCTGTTTAACGACTTTCGCCAACATATGGCTACACATGGAAAAATATGTGGAGTACTCATGAACACATAGTTCTGTTACTTAACAAAGTGGTAAGTATTGTTTCCAGGTCAGCGTTAGAAATTATATAACAATTTTAGGAAAATGTAAGACGAAATATAAACCTATTATTATTATATTAGTATCTTTAAATTTTCTAAATCGTTACACCAAACAGTTTAGTTATTGAAAAAAAACAAATAAATTTATTTTTCATATCGATGTTACATTTTTATACCCGTTACTCGTAGAGTAAAAGGGTATACTAGATTCGTCGGAAAGTATGTAACAGGCAGAAGGAAGCGTTTCCGACCCCATAAAGTATATATATTCTTGATCAGGATCACTAGCCGAGTCGATCTAGCCATGTCCGTCTGTCCGTCTGTCCGTCTGTCCGTCTGTCCGTCTGTCCGTCTGTCCGTCTGTCCGGATGAACGCTGAGATCTCGGAAACTATGGGAGCTAGGCTATTGAGATTTGGCGTGCAGATTCCTGAGCTTCCTACGCAGCGCAAGTTTGTTTCAGTAGACTGCCACGCCCACTCTAACGCCCACAAACCGCCCAAAACTGTGGCTCCTACAGTTTTCATGCTAGATAGAAAATTTTAACTGAAATGTAATGTTCTCATCAATACCTATCGATTGACCCAAAAAAAAGTTTGCCACGCCCACTTTAACGCCCACAAACCGCAAAACCCTGTGACGCCCACAATTTTCATGCTAGATAAAAATTTTTAACTGAAATGTATTGGTCTCGTCAATACTTATCGATTGATTCAAAAAAAAATTTGCCACGCCCACTCTAACGCCCATAACGCTTAAATCTGTATACCGCCGGTAGGTGGCGCATTTTAATCTCGCTTTGCTGCTTGCATATCTCCATTTAGCTGAGTAACGGGTATCTGATAGTCGAGGTACTCGACTATAGCGTTCTCCCTTGTTTAAATTTAGCAAACTACTGGTTCTGATCCTAAGAACTCAAACTTCCTTAGCTTGAGGTCGCAATTGGTATTCTATAACTTGAAGGAATTTGAAATAAAATTCTAACGACTTATTGCCTGTTTTTTATTATTACATTTCACTTTTATTTGATTTATTTCTGTTAAATAATCGTGTCTAAAAGTCCTTGAACTTGGAAATTCGAGTGTAGCCCACTGCCAGGCATGCGAAATTTATAAGCGAAAAAAGCGCCAAAAGAAGAAAGGTAAACCTCATACACGCAGCAAATACAAAGCACTCGCTCTCACTCATATATGCCTAAGCCAACAGACAACGCGCCGTAAATATTGTTGAAACGGCAGTTTATTTTTGGGGAGCCCAGAAAACATCATTCAATCGAGGGGCTTCGGGCCGGGCTAAGCCAAGCCAGCCAAGCCGGCCGAAACCCGGGCAACTTGGGTCCGCTTCGGGGGTCCTGGGGAGAATGAGCGACGGACAATCGGTAACCGCTGATGGATGTGAGCAGCAGCAGCAAGAGACAGCTGCTTGAGGTGCACGGGCATAATGTTGAGCGATATTTTTGTACCGTTTTGTTATCCTTGCCGTTTGGGAGTGTGTGTGCGGAAGGACCAAAAGCGGCCGCAAGTTAAATAAGGAGTATGCGAGAGGTAACTTAAAAACGGCTAAGAAATGCCCTATAGCATGGAAAATCGTATGCTTTCTTCCAAGGTTTTTAAAACTATACCAATTTTAAGACGGTAATGGATTGCACAGGTAGGAACTATTATGAGTGAACAATAAAAATATATAACAGTATAATGTAATGTATATGACATCTTTAAAAAATATTCGTTTCACTTCAAGGATTCTAGTACGCACTTGCTTGAACTTTTTAAAGACATTAAAAGTACTAAAAAATATTAATTAAAAAATCTAGGAACCTTTGAATTTTTGCTTACATTTAGCTATACTTAGTTATTTTGGAGTTTAACTTTTTATATACGGCACTGGTAAGGGTGCAAATTAAAGTTTAAAGATAGGGCCACTTTAAGGGTCTGCAACCTGAAACGTAGTATTTCTTAAGATGTCACCACCCTTGTGGTGCGAAAAATAAGGTATACCCCGCTAACATTTCAGCCTTGCATAGTGTATAAATGACACACACACACGCCAGCAGGCGACACACACACGAGAGTCATAAACAGAGACTAAACAAAGAGTTGTCCTTTGACTGTCAAACACACACACCCCTCGCATGTGTGTGTGTGTCTCTTTAGCGTCTCCAGGATTTAATGGCCTCATTAATTTTGTATGCTTGGCCTTAAATTATTTTACTTGCCTGCCCTGCTCAGCTATTCCATTAACTTGACTTCGCTGTGCCCACAGCCGCATGCCACGCCCCCCTCGACGCCCACCGCCCGAACGCCCCAACGATC